AATATGAAATTTATGGAATTGGAAATTTTATAAAATGTTACGATATTTACAGTGCAATATCGTGATGCATTAGTGCAACGGCGACAGGAAGCAGTAGCAACTGCAGCGATCGAAGCAATTACCAAAGATTCAATATTACACAGACGAGATGTAAAAAAGCTTATGGAAGCTCACCAAACAATTGGTGGAGAAAAACAACGAAATCAAGATAAATTGTCGAGTTGAATTGATTGAAAAAAAGAGAGGATTGCTTGGAATTGCATGTATCAGACAAATTCATCCCCAAAGTTTTTATCTAAATTATTTACATACCAAATATTATGTTAATATTCTGAAAGTCATCTTACTGTGGAATATTATTCAGCTTTCAATGGAGATTTGAATGGAAGTTTGTCCTGATTACAAGATCTCCTATCAAAATTACCAATTCGCATCTCCGATCTATATCTGAGTGTCACTTGAAGTGCGCAGAAGATTGTAACTAAGCAAGTTCTATTTTTATTATGAGTTCAATACACTGCAGTGGGATGATTTGTAATTAATATTAAAATGAAAGAATGAAATAAAAACGAAAAGTAGTTGCCGCACTTATGATTGCTATAAAATTCATCTTTTCGTCGGACAATATTGCATAAACTTCATTACCACTTTCATAATTTTCTCAGTATGCTCGATATCCTTTGCTTTCAAGAGTAATCTGAAGGTCAGAGAAAAGGTCGGTCTTCAATCTTCTCAAGTTACAAATCAATTCATATCATCCATACAGCTAAAATTTTCATGGTGCACTAAAATGTGAATCAAGTATAAAACCTCACAAAATTGCAACTTTAATCAAGCAGCAGTCAAAAAGCAAAGATATGAGATAAAAATACGAAACAGTTAAATTAACAGAATTCCTGAATCTAAAACCTGAAATTGCAAAAGTACCATAAACATTCAAGTTCAGTCAGTTTCTGATTTTTTCAAAATCAGCGATTAAAATACTCTTCTAACTCTTTTTCAAGAGCAATTTAAAAATAGACGAGGAGTAGATCCAAGACCGAAAATAAACGGAATGAAAGATATTTATACTAAACTGTTTTCGAACGAGAACACGCCATTTTCTTGTACAAGATGATTACAGTGAGCTATTCGCTAATCTTGAAAAAATCCTCTACAAAAAAGTGATGTACAGTGATCTACTGTTTTAGAAAAGTACACCGAAATACGAATGCAGCGTGAAAAATAACTTTAAAATAATTAGTGATTATTATGAACTCGATGAATTTCCAACATATCTTTCAAAAAGTTGTGCTTTCTTCCTTTCCAAAATGAGATTTTCAATTTCTTTTTGTGATGGCACAACAACATGTTGAATGAATGTTTTCTTCCCATCGTCGCTTATCAATACAGATTGCTTCGTGTCGATATCTTCCCCGTCAGAATCCTATAAAAGTTCGTTTAATCAATAACACATAAGTGAAAAATAATAATGAAATGGAATGGTTGCGCTTAACGTATGTAAATGTCTCAGTCATAGTGAAAATTATGCAACATTGGTAGAGAATAATGCTTCAAAATACCGATTTCAAAATAAAATACACTACTGCAATGATAATAAACCTAACAATTTCATACATAATGTCAAATAATTCATATGATATTTTATTACGCGTAGATAACTTACATCATCAATTTTATATATGTCGATATCTTCGTCAAATGCTTTCTTTAATTTCAATGCATCTTTATTTTCCTTCCAATCCTAGAAAACTTTTCGTAAAACTTTGCACATCAAATATTAAATAACGCCAAAGAAGTCCAGTTGCAAAAGAAACAGAAAAGTCCCAGACCTTTTCGATTTGTAAACGAGCTTTGACTTCAGCATCCATTTCTAGAGGTACCAATAAACCATCATCATCATCCATATAGCCATAATAATCTGCGTCCAAAAATTTGATTAATTCCATACGATTTTTTCGTGATTCATCGATTCCAACTTTTTCGAAAAGTTCCCGAACACCGGGCAAATCTTTTGCAGCTCCAAAATATTTATAACCTTTACTACCGGCAACCTCACGTCCCTCTCGATCGAGTTCCCTGGGCGCTACCTTCCTGCACAAGTAGCGTTAAATTATTATGCAACATGTCATTTCTAAATAAAATGACCATCGAAAAAATATTTTAAGCATTTATTCTGAAAAAATATGTATTTGAAAAACACACAAATATACCTATAATCCTGGCCTCCGAGTTCCTTAATCCTTGTTTCCCAAGCGTATTTTACTCGTAGCAATTTGTTTATTTCATCATTTAAATCTCGAATTTTAAATTCACCCAAGCCAGGATTTTGTATCAGTGCTATTTTCTTAGCAATTTCCATTGTCACCTGTTTTCTGTATTTTTCTGCATCATCTGCAAAGAAGTAGAAATATTATTAAGAAATACTGATTGTTAATCCTTATTTCAAATCAAACTTACTATTTCAAATATTACTTACTTAGCGTATTGCATTCATTCACATCGTTTGGTCGTTTCGCAACTGGACCTTTCTCCTCTTCTTCTTTCATTCGCCGCCATCGGGCTAAAGCAGTCATCGCTTTTTCTGCATTTCGAGCCTTAAGTATAATCATGTTAGCTAGTAACTAATTTAAAAGAATAAATTCTACAGAATGAATAGTATGCATGTTTACTCATTTTCATTTTTCTTGAACATATTCCATAATAATTCTCTTTAGAAAATTACACTTTGAAATAACAAACTGCATTTATGAAGATGTAAAAATACTAATAACAGAATGATAATGAATCAATTTAATATAAAAATATTGAATTCAAATATCACAGAATTAAAAAACAACGCACTAAAGTAATCTCTATTCTGCTATAGAATACTTACCATTATCGAATATCGAGCAGAATAGAATAATCCAAATAGAACCTGAAAACACAGTGAATATATTTTTTTCCCAATGAATATTTTCACAAAAGCACTTCTCGACTGAAGTAAATGAAAATCAAATGATAATAGGATCAATCAAAGTAGATTCACAGAACACACAATGCAATGAGTATATACGTCATTACATACCGTTAATCTAGCTTGTTATTCATTACTTAAAACTTTCATCAAGCAAAATTTGAATACTGCTATCATTTCTTAAAGACTACACTAAAAAAACTACTTTAATTAAAGCACATTCCCTGACTGCGGGTACAACTAACCTTTACTAACATTAAAAGTTGAGAGGTAACAACATCTCGCTAAGAAAAATATTAATCGAATTCATTTATCTTTGTCCACCATGAGTGCATGTAACAGTACTTTAAAAATTTTTCAATTTATTTAAACGAATGAAATATACAATGGATCAAATTTCATGCAAAGACATTATGTAAAATACAAATTGACTGTAAAACAAGTAACGAACCAGAATAAAAATATAAAACAGATAAAAAAATTATTTCTTAAAAGAATAACTAAAGTAACAAAGATAACATGTATTCAAAACTTTCAGAAGACTTCAGACATCCCCTATGTAGAGAATCAAATCTAATCCGTCAATTTCAAAAGTCGTTATATCTACTCATTTTGTATTTGAATCATAAGTGAAAAGCGATTTTAAAACAGTGGCAATACAAAATTTAAAACTGTATGTGTGACGAGCAGTTGATCAATATTTTAGTTTCTCCAAATGTTTTTGTGGTAGAGATGTAAAAAAAACGTATTGACAACAAAACAATAACACAATGAATGTACAACAACATATAATTTATTTAATTCAACGCTCCATCTGGTCAGTTTGAGTATCGGTATCTTCCTCATTATAAATATTATCAGCCATTTGCCAAATCTGCATGATATTATCCTCTGATACTGAGCACACAACCCATGGTTCGTTTGGATTCCAAGAGAAATCTGAGATCTGAAGAAAAACTTTATCTCACAAAATATGAAATGTTACTGGTTCACTGGTGACAAACTAATTATATCAGCGCTTTCCGTAAAAGTGCGACTTGTCCAAAACTTCTAAACTAAAAGTTTAGGATAATGCACCTTGATGTACCTCTGCTTTACTGCAAACTTCTAAACTTTCTTCTGTGAGATCAATATAATGTCGAAACGAAACTGTACTATTTCTCAGTATTGAGGACACCTTAACTCACTCCTAATTATAAATGCCGCATGATGGCACAATTCAGGAAACAGTGTCAGATAGGTTTTAATCAATGCAAAGCAGTGATATGACAAAATCCCAACAATGAAAAATCGAAAAGACTTGAAATTAACAATGATACACTACCATTATTAATTTCAAGTCCCTTTTGTTTCTCGTTGTTTATGGGAATTTCCAAAAAAAGGAAATTAGCTTGATAAAAATATGTTAAATACCTTAGCAGTATGACCACCGTGTATAAAAAGCAACTCTGCAGGACCATCCTCAGCGTCCTCCGGTGATTGCTCTTCACCGATTTTACTTAAATCCCAAACATGAAGTCGTCGATCCGTTCCGGAGGATGCCAGAATTGTTTCGTTGTGTGGTGACCACTGGACTTGGAAAATTTCATCCTTATGCGATTCGAATGAATGCAACTTCAATTTTAAATTCCGTAAATCCCACAAAGCAACTGTCTGAAAAATAAAAAATTAGCAATATATATATTGATATAATGATCAACATTACTGATGTCTTTCGAAGAACGATGCAGCATTAACGGCAGAGAAGAACTACAATGAATGATTAAGTAGTTTTAATGTCGAAGTTTAAGGTGTTAGTCTAGTACTTTGTTGTTTGTTTTTTCTTTAAACCGAATAAAAACAAAAGAGATGCTGAAGCAAAGAATAAAGAAGGCAGAACCTTGTCAGCTGAGCCCGTAGCCAATATAAATTCCGAATATGGATTGAAGGATAAGCAATTTACTTCAGCCGAATGGGCATCAACAGTGTGATTCGGTTTATTCGAGCTGTTTGTACGGGTATCCCAAATCATCAGCTTACGATCATCACCCACTGAACCAAACACCGCTTCGTGCAGCACATGCCAGGCAACATCTTCGACGACTGCATTATGTCCGTTAAAAATCTGCAGTTATAGCAAATTATATAAGTCTTTTCTACATGATAAGATATTTGAGTTAAATCTCTCGAAAGTGCAAAAAATTTAAGAAATACGTTTCACCAGCAGAAATATTTTTCAGTACCAGGACGGCGTCGGTAACAAATAACAAAGTTTTACTGATAATTTGAAGTTATCTTTCTTCTATTTCCAACACAAATTATCCTCCTTGGGAATTACCAAATCCAAACTTCGTCGAAATGACGTACTATTCGATCACGGTTAACAAATTTTATTAATATTTAATTATAAAAACCGTTTTTGCATCAAGAAAGCTTGATTGAGCAGTTGCTGCCTGAACATCCCACAAGCACACAGTCATATCGTCCGAAGCAGAAAGCAAATGACCAGGCAAATTTGGATTCCACGATAAGCCATAACCTCAAAAAAAAGAAATGATTTCATAATACATAAAAGAAAATGAAAAAACGCAAAAATCAAAAATTAATCTAGCAGACAATGATACGAAGATAAACAAGATACCTTCTTTTGTATGACCACGTAAACGCAATTGTGGCTTGCAAACATTGTCAGCAGGATTCGGTACAGATGGATGTTTTGTATAATCGAAAATAAAAACCTGAACAATGTTTATTCAGAACTCAGTGTTCAAGTCTATGAAAAAAATCAGTGATATCGTGTAAATCAAATCATTTGGCACTTTTACACATACCTCAACTAAAAGCAAACGCAGAATATTAATAACGTGCAAAAAAAACCTCAAATATTTCTTTATGAATCAAAAAAGCGAGAAAAACAGCGGTATAGAAAGAAAAATACCTCACTGTTTGGTGATTTCGTGGCCAGCAAAACCGGATTTTGTGGCATGTAACGTGCACGATTCACCTCCCCTTCATGGTTCATCTTAATTTCAACATCAATCTTTCCTGTTATTGAACCGAAACCTCCAAATTCTGTAATGATCAAAATATAAAAACCCATTTTACCAGCAGCTGCATTGTTTCTAAACTTCCTAATTCAATTAAAAAAATGTTCAAGAAGTACCGCCTTTTTCGGTATCATATTTTGAAGCATCAAACTGCGCATCATCAGTGGGCAGCAACAGTTTTGCTATAACCAAATGATTCTGCTCATCCGAAGTATGGGTACCTAGGATGAGGCGATGAGTCGTGTAATCGCTTCCTTCTAATCTATAAAATAATGATTCAAGTTCAATATCAAAAAAAATTCTGTAAAATTCCCCACCTCTGATAAAGAAGAAAAAGCATCGTTAAAAATAATACCTTTGTATATCGGGGAGCCACTGTACTGTTAAGCTTGGCCATTCAAGCGCATGTGTCATCACCTACAACGATTCCGGAATTTTTTCCTTAATTTAAAAAATCCTTACATCTTATATGAGGCTAAAATATCCTTATGTTCTCTAATAATTTCATTAGATTTCTAGAAAAAGCTGCGGTAAGAAAGAACTCAAGGATTATACCATATCGTAGAGAAAAGGTGTATTTTTCTTCCATATTTTATATTCTTCATTGATAAGTCGCTCCTCGTAACCTTCTTCAGTCATTTATTCGCGTTGTGAAATCAGTAAATGCTCCGAAACTTTCCTAATAACTTCATCACATTATAAGCAAAATCAAAACAATGCTATTTCGTCCGAAATAGTTTATCGTACAAAGAACTGTAAACACAGAGCGGGAAAGAAGAGAATTGCTAAAATATCTCGTTTTGCAAAGAGAGTAAAACAGTATATCTTAGAGACAGATAAAATATGCAGGAAACGAATCTTAATCCAGAATAAACGAATGAAATAAACAAGTATCCTATAAATTGCTACTAAACACGAAGAATAAATGAAGTTAAAAAAGTAAAGTTTGATAGAGACCAAATTCCTGGGGAAAATCTTTTATGATGTTGTTTCTAAGATGGGTTTTATCCACACCAGATATTCCTAGCCACGCTATTTATTCTATTTATCGCTTTTCTACCTTTGTTTTTCCCAGCAGTATAACAAAGGTGAAATTTCATAGCATGAATTACTACGAAATTTCACTCAGATATATGCTTTAATTAATATCTTAACAGCTTGCTTTGTAATTTGATTAATAATAGACAGAACCAAAAAGCCTCAATCAAATCGGGAAGATATTTTCCTAATTAGTTCAGATGGGCGAATCGCCAAAATAATTACAAACATTCTTGATTTTTTTTTTAAAACATTTATGACAAAAAAAATCATAACGAATCCTTCATCAAAATGACGCTAAAACGAAACATTTACTATTAGCAGCCCACTTCGACAATATACGAAAGTGGTATGCAAAAACTGAATAAATGAGAAGAATTTAATAAAATATACACGTGCATCAAGATCTCATCTGTAACAAAGTAACCTAAAGCGTTATTTGATGAGGTCACTAACACATCACACCTGCACCTTACTATTTTTATCAACAGTGTAGCTAAACAAGTTTATTCTAGAAGCAAAAAAATTAAAAAAATTTACTTCCCTTCTCCTTTTGCCTCCCATTCACCATGAAGAGCTGGCTGCAAACGTCGCTATTAATTAATCCTTATTAAAGCTTTCCTTTTTGCAGAAGGCTACTTAATCGATGTTCAAATCCCGAACCTTCTGATGCTTAACTTGTTTCACAATTGCAGAGGAGGAAAAAATCAAGTAGGCTACCAAAGACTGTGTGTTTTAGTGCTACATAACTTAACATTAGCTGTATAATAACGAGCTTCATTCTTAAAAGTGCTATCAACATTTCGTTTTTTAAATCTCAAGACCTAACCAACACCCGTAACACCACACTCACCAAAGAACCCGATCCCCAAAATGTTGACAAGTCCCGCCAAAGGAAATAATTCTTTTTCGAAAACATTAAACTTCGTGCAATCAATAAATGCGCTAATATGGTATGGAGTCGATGTGAAATTTTGATATCTCATGTTTAAAAGTCCAATTGCTGTCAACGAGGAATTTTCATGAACTTGTATGAACAATACAAAAGTGGAAAAGTAAAGTCAGCTGAAAACGCTACAAATCTAACACTGGTTTTTTTTTTTTACTGCGAGATATTTTTAACGATGCTTATTCAACCGACATCTCTCTAATCATTCACCTAAAAGTGGAAATCTGCAAGTTCATCAACAAAAACATAGCGAAAAAAGAAAATACAAATGTGGCAGATGCGGTAAGCGATTGAAATATTTGAGCAATCTGAAACACCATAAAGAAATACATTTGGGTTTAAGAAAGCACAAATGTGATATGTGCAATAAATCATTCGCACAGTATGAAACACGCGCAATCGTAAACTGACGCATAACGAAGGACAATTCGAATGCGCTGAATGCGGTAAAAAATTCAATCGAAAAAATATAATTTGTATAATTATAATAACTTATAGGAAAAAAAAAGTATAATTATAATAACTTACAAGGATCACGACATGACGATGCATGAAAATCCTAGCAAAAGCTTACGAATACAGCATATACCGCTTTCACAGGACATTAATAAAGCGCATAATTTCATTAGCTTGGACTATAAATTGTTGTATTGTGTTAGCTTAAATTATATTGTTTTCATTGCCATCCAGTCTTGCATATTGCTTTTTAATTGAATATCAAAAATGGTTGATAAAATGAATAGAAAATTCTGAATTATAATTTAATGGAACTTCATATTGTATTCATTTTATCGTAAAATTTTCATATATTATTTTATTCATTATGCTAATATTCTATTCATTATAAATTTTTTCTAATCGATCATTGTAATTTCTCACCTATAATCGATACTGCCATTTATAAACAGAACCTTTAGTGTTTTAATTTCTGCTGCTGTTACAAAAAAAAAAAAACAACGCTCAACACTCGTACTGTTTTCTCTGGATGACGTGTAACGAATAGAATATACAAAAGATAAAACAAATCGTTAAGGATTGCATAGAAAAGTGATGAATAAAATGGATAAGAGATCGATAGATTGAGAGAAAACAATACCAATTAGTATTCCATTGGCGGTAAATATGCCTTTTACGGGTAACTTTCCTGGAAAGAAAAGAATGAATTCCGGAAGAAGTATGATTGCAATGCTGAAACTGAAACTGACGGAAAGAGTGAAGCCTGGAAAACTTAGCTGACCCGAACACCGTGAGAATTAACTGACTGAGAGCTCTTGCATGGTTCAGTGTAAATGGTTTATTTGATTTATTCCGATAACAAGTGAGTCTTAAAGCCTGCTGTATAATTACGGATAATTTTGTCCAGACAACTTTTTAGAAAAGGGACAAGCGGTGTTTAATCGCATGAAGTAAAGCAATGAAAGGTCCGTGATGCCTTTGCTATGTCGTGAACTGCACGCGCGCTATACTGAGAAATTAGCGTGCTGTAACATTACCGAAAGATACTGGTAGCACTTGAAAATCCTCTCTGTTTGGAGTCTGAAATTGCAATTATTTTTCTTGAAAGGTGAATTCCAACTATTTTTCTTGAACGAGAAAGAGAAAAATTTCAAGACTCAGTCCAAGAAATAGTTTTTGCTATATGGAATATAGCGTATAAGTATAACTAACAATATTTATTACACTCAACGTTCCCTCTAGCAGGACTACAGTCTATAGAAAATGATAAAGACCTATAAAAAAAAGTCACCACTAAATAGACTCTTATAAAATTACCTCTAAATAATTAAGATGGTCATTTACAACACCATAAATTATCATTGAAAAGTTAAGATGGTTTCTTATTTAGTGCATGATTTTATAATAAATCGTAACTGTTCATTGATGCCTATAACTTTATAAATGATGAATCTTTGCTGTTTAAAATAATCTTATAATGTATCATTTTAATTGTCTAATGCATGAACTTTCAAGAGATTCTCACTACTGTTCAGCGCATGATTATATAAGAGTTCACCTTAATCAGTGTATATTAATTATACTGTTTTGTGGATATTTAATAGGAATTAACACGGGAATTATTATAAACGAACTCATATATTATGTAAACTTTACAGAAAGATCAGAAATTTGTATTATGATACGTCCGACAGGAAAACAGTTTGTTTATTTAAAATAGATAAGGATGGATAATTTAGAAGAGAAAATCAAGAAGACTTCCTCGGATGTTTTTATGTAATCTTAATAAAAATGAAAATGCTGGCTCATCTATTTTTAGGAATGGACTAAAAATAAGTGAGCCAGTACTTTCATTTTTCTCGTAATTTTACGTGAGAATTCGTCAACTTCTATGCAAACTATTTTATCTTTTGGTTTCATCTCAATGAAATGGTTTGAAAATTACATCAGTCAAAAAAATTTGATCCCCCGTTTCAATTGCAATTTCCAAATTGTCCATTGTCCAGTTTTTTTAAAGCTGAATAATAATGTAAGTAATGCAAATGATGATAAACTTTTCAAACTTCTTGCTTCTATAAATTGGCATGCTGTATTAATCATTTATTGATCTTATTAATATCTGATAGGAAGAAATGATTTGAAAATGAAATAAAAATATTAATTTCCGTCATGAAAATTTTTCATTAATTCAGGAGGGCAGATTGATGTTCCAGAACAGCGTGATTGAAAATGTTTATTCAAAGGATGATTGCAGATAGTGACAATTAACAACATGCAAAGATGAATATTCAATTCCTAATAGTCGATTAATCACTTTGTTCTGAGTAAGAGATGCATGTCTTAGTCGGGGAGAGTCTCACTCTCGATAACTGCATAGTGTCTGACGTGAGTTACAGCATCAATTAGTAAAAAGATAGTTACTTAAATATATAATAAATCAATAGAAACCACGTAGAGACGTGTTATAAGTTATAAACTGGATAAAATTAATAGCAGATCATGCACAGTTACGAGAGATAATCTCATACGCAGCGTGATGTGATGAAAAGAAGCGAGGGAAGAGAGAGATTGTTTGATTATTCGTTAATCACATCTCTTGTTATACATAAAAAGAAAGACAGAGAACATGTAATGGCGGGAAATATTAATCAACAAATAGTAGATCATGTAAATTCACGAGAGATGATTTCATAGGCAGTGTGATGTGATGAAGAGAAAGAAAGAAGCGATGAGAAAAGCTTCAATATTTTCCGACTAATATTTCCCGCCATTACACGTTCTCTGTCTTTCTTTTCATGTATAATAACAGATATGATTAACGGGTAATGAAACAATCCCTCATTTCCCATCGTTTCTTTCTTTTCATCATATCACATTGCCTATGAGATTATCTGACTCGTAACTCTGTAGTTCATAAAATTTTTGGGTTTCCGACAGATTGAAGAACACATTAGAAGAAGAGAGAAACTGTTACAATTTATGAGAAGCATACTTGATCTGATAGATAGTAAGAAATAAAAAGATTGATGATCACACTTCGACAAAAATAAAATTAGAACGCTATTAAACAGATCATGGTTAGATAAATTAATTGGAAGTCAAACGCAAAAAAAAACGCAAACTCAAGCCCGGAACGCTGCTTTTCTAGCAAAATTTGATTTCACGGCAGAAATAAATGAAAAAAATTCGGATTACTGCGCATATTGCGGAAATATTTTTTCTTGCGGAAAGAGGTCAATTAATGATTTCCTCTTTATAGCAAATCATAACCATAAATTATATTCGAACAGGAGAAATGTTCAGCGATAGATTTCATGGCAATTTTTTTTTTTTTTTATCTATGCAATGAACCGGTAATATTTTCGTTACTTATTTTTTCGTTATTTAAAAAAATATTTTTAGATAGTGTAGCTACCGGTGAAACTTTTATGTGCTAAATCCTGATCTCTCGTGATACAACCTCAGAAGTTAATCTTCCTTAATAATACACTATTCCGGAATAAATTCACTACATTACAACAAATTCTGAGTTCAGTTATGACGATGAAATCATTCAGCCAACGACAAATAGAATGCTGGTCAAAATAAACAAAAAATCAATTATCCCACATGCTTGAAGAAAACATTGTCCTTAAATTCAAATCAAACATCCACTGGATGAGACGTAAAAACAATATCTTAATCCAAGAAGCGCTGTTAATTATACAAATTTTTTTTTCGGCTGCTGTCCTTCTAAATGTTAACTGTGTTTGAAATGGATCGCAAACACCAAATTATTCCAGTAATTAGATGTTTTGATATGTAAAATGTAACTAGCAAATGCATTAATATTTCTGAATATTTAGTAAAATTTGCTGTAATAGAAAAAGAAAACAGAAAGATGAAATTTTAAGATGAAGGGATAAAAAGAGTTTCGACTGACAATGTCAAAAAAGCAATAAGCAATGTCAGAGACGAATTCGAAAGAAATGTCAACACATGTTACGCTAAGAAGGAAATGAATGAAAGAAGCTGATCGGTCATCTTCCAACTGTAAGATGTAAATAATGTGTGTAAATAACTGCACACATAGAGTAATTCATAGCTAAGCCAACTTTTTTAGAATAAAGAGGACACAAAATGTCGAAATTTATAATACACTGATCTAGAAAATAACAAACAACATAGTCTTAGACATAAAATCAATTACCATATTCACTAAAATTTCAAATCTCTTAAAATTTACGATGATAGCTGAGATCCGTAATCAAGGTATTGTTACTAAACCCTGACGTTGTAGCCACGTATTACTTGACTCACATATTACATCACTCAATTTATGTTTCAAATCCAAAAATGCCCGTTTAAATTCAATTCCATCACCGCGCGAGCGCCGGCAATTTACCACTACCTGAAACACAAATTACAAAGTTTTTATATGTGATACAATCAGTGATGTCGAATATTATTTTGATAGCAATAACATAGTTCGAGAGCTAGACGGGTCAAATTTCAGAACACTCGCTTTTCAGGAATTACAAAGTTATTTGTCTATACCACGAAATTGCTATCAGCGAAACATTTAAGCATCAGATGTAATATTATTCTAATCAAACACCAAGAGTTCAATAGGAAACAAATAATTCCACCACAGATTTTTTCAGGATATCAATTACACACATTCTCTTTGTAAAACTTGCCTTTTTGCCATCTTTTCCCATCATTTCGTAAACTGTTACCACATAACACATGTGATTTCGAGGACCACTAATTGACATCTGAAATGAAACCAATGGAATTAAAAATTTTTTCAGCATACAAAGCACTCATGTCACTTCAAACCAATTACTGCTCTATCAACTATCAGGAATGCTTTCTAGTTCGGCAACAAACAGCCTATCAAGTCCATATGGCATTAATCGTAGATGCGGTTTATCACGGAAATTCAGCAATTATCTTTTGCACCTTACAATACCTAAGCCACTCTACCGCAATCTGCTGCAATCTTACAATTCCAAATCTCTTCGATGAAGAGAAATCAGAATCATTCATTTCATTTTACTAATGTACAAGGAAACAATGACTCTTCGCTCTCCATTTAATGAAAAAATTTTGAAATCACCATATTAGCTGCACGCTGCACACACGTAAATTTCAGATCCAATCTGTCTTTGATGATAGACATAATTTCGCACGTCCCCTTTGTCACGCAGAAACGTGTCATACGGCGTGCTAAGATTTCCAGCGGATGCTGTAAAGAAATTTAGGTATACAAAAATGGATCAGGTTTTTGCCTCTTCCGGCGCGCTTGCTAACTTTGTTAAGCAGTCCGATGTATTTTTGGAATGTATCGGATAGCAACCGTATTAGTTCTAAATATTCTCAAAAGAGACAGACCACGTTATCAACTACAGACTTCATTCATCAATCAGTCAGGCTTTTCTTTACAGAATTTTTCACCTCTTTTTCACATAAATTATAGCATTTTGAGAGATAATTTTGTATAGAAGATAATTTTCAAAACTAAAGACGTTTATTCTGACTACATTTTTAAAGTTTTTGAATATCGATATATTTTTGAATACAAGAAATTATTTTGAAATTACAGCTTGCCTGATTGACACCGCAATCGATTTGTGTCAACAATTCTATATTAGCAGGCTGTGAAAAGAAACTACCATTCACTGCATATTCCCTGAAGTTGGGTCGATATAGATAGATAATAGATTTCATAACTTAAATTTTTGAAAATTTTATTTCCTAAAAAAATTGAAATGTTTTGTTTTGAAATATCCGCAACATTAGGTAAAAATTCCATCGGGAATTCCGATGTAGCGAGGAATTATTGATGAAACTGAGCAAAACTATGAGCAACAAAACGCCCTCGAGCGTTTATTATAAGCCAATTAGTTTTGTTCACTTTTCTTAAAAACTTATAAAGGCATACCTCTTTGCTTGCGAATTGTAACAAGGTGAAACAGGTTGGGAAACTGTACCGATTGGTATTTTCAATCTCAAAATCTAGTGGTTATAAAGCAGAACTATTAATTTTACTACTATGCATAAGCTTCATAGTTTGTGATTTAATTAAGCATCAAATTATCTAATTAAAAGATAATGGCTTATGTAATAATTTTCAGAATTTTAGTTTTTGATATTAAAGAAAACTAAAAAACAGTCTATGATAAATAAAAATCCGATATATTTTCACATAATCTTGCTATAAAAAATAGGAAACTAACTCAAAAAATTTTACCTTTTTCCAGTATTGGTAGGAGTTGACAGTCTGATCTTCTTTGAATCAGGTTCTTCCTCATCCTCAATTGCAGTCTCCTCTAATAAGTTTGATGGTCCTGCAGTTTCGTTATGTTCCTTCAAATTTGTTAGATTTTCATCATTAGTTTGAACCGCTTTTTTCTTACGTCTCCTTATCATTTCGGCACTCGGTATTTCGTAATCTTAAATCATGAACAATTTAAAAAGTGAATACAATCATCTCCCGTTATCATATGTTCATGTATTTTAGGTTAATAAAATTCATAACAAAATTAGGCTTACCTATCTCCTTAGCAAAAAATTCATGCTCTTCAATTTCCGGAATTTTAATTCGTCTGTTCTCACAGACATCGAGTATCTTCCGTAATAAATCTGAAACTTATTTATATGTAGGTAAATAATAAGTATCTGAGAAAACTAAAAATATAACAATAACGTGATGATGGTTGCAGCAGGAAAAAAGAATAACTAAATGATAGCACTGCTATTTTACATAGTTGGTAGTAGATAAACCGACATGTCCAAGAACAAATTATGGCCAATATGTTAAGAAAAGCTTATTTTACGTATTAAAAAGAATAAAAAAAATGTTACATTATTAATGATATTTTACAAAAAAGAATTTAGAAGAGTCAACTGCAGCATTGATTCGTTTTCAAAAAAGGAATTTAAACATTATATTAAATATTGTTACAAGATGTACTTGTTATTACTCCCAAAAGTCTATCCCAAGGTGGATGACGTCTCCAATCATACTTCGTAAGCCAAAGTTTGAAAGGCTGTGAAGTTCTGAAACAAAAAAAAGAAAAAAAAGGAGTACAATGAATTGTCCACAAATGACGGTAAAGAACTGTCAAAATTGCGCGCGATAACTGGAAACTAATTATTTCAAAAACATACGGAGTCGCTTCGTCCCAAGGTAATTCACCAGTAAGCATTGCTATGAGTACAATCCCACAAGACCATATATCAGATGGTTCACCTCTGAACATAAAAATTACCACAATTCTTCAGTATCACATTGTTTTTCAATGTTTATGGCTATCGATATGAAAAGATACTGAAGAATTTTCTTTCATAGATAAATATCGGAGCTTTTTTCTTACAATTGCGCCTCAGCTGTTTCAACAGTTTATGAAGAATAAAACATATATCAATCAGTTTAACAGATGAACCTATAGTTTGATGCTAACACTTGAGGCGAAAGATACTGTACTGTGCCACATCTCGACCTTAGCTTTCTTTCCACTCCCTTACGGCGAAATATTGTTGCTGCACCAAAATCACAAATTTTTAACTGACCTGAAATAAATGTAACGATATTAAATAAAGAAAAGATTAAGACCTCAGAATAAGATTATTAGTCATCATTTTATTTAAATGGAGATCATTTAAACGCGATTAAAATTTTAAATTCATATTAATATTTAACGTAGATACCATTCTTCATTAGTAACAAATTTTCCGGTTTGATATCGCGATGTGCGATACCCATTGAATGAATATGCTTTAATCCAGCAATAATTTGTCGGAAAAATTTCTGCGCTTTCTCAGCCGGCATGCCTTTGTCCGGTTCTCAAAATATAAAGAAACAAGAATGAAAACTGGAAATTTATGTCAAACCTCCTAGTATTTATTGAGAAACTTACAGTTTTAATCAATCATTAAAGTACATGTCAACGATTAAAATGCAAATCATATTTTCAAGAAGACTTAGAAATTTTATGCAGAGAAAGAAGGCCAAATGATGTCCTATTAAGAATAAAAACCAATTAAGATTTGCAAAATATTTTAAGCATAAAGAACCAAACTTTACCAATGTGGTCAAATAATTCGCCTCCATCAGCATATTCGAGAAACATTTCAATACGTCGGTCGTCATAACGCATCCCAATGTAACGAATGACATGTTCAGATTTGTAGAATACACGCATGATAAACGCCTACCAAAGTGTTTAATTACAAATATAATATTTAAAAATTGTCTGAATATTTAAAATGTTTTGAATGAAATTACCTGGAATATTAAAACTTATAGAATTCAGTAATCGTGAGGCCTTATTATGAAACTAATTTTACCAAGCTGAACAAAAAGTAATAAATTAAGAAAAAGGGATTTTACTTTACCTTGGATATTTTTCCGCAATTTCTAAATTTAGTTCATGGTAAAAAGCAACAAGTTAACAAAATATTTCTTAAGTAATTCTCTTATATTTCTAAATAAAGAACAATAATACAACCTCCCGACGCAGTTTTTTGAACAGCTCCTCTTGCTCTTCTGCTCCTGTTGTATATGCAGCCATACATTTCGCAGCTACCATTGTTCCCGGATTTTTTGAATCTACCAATAAACGAACTTCACCAAATGCACCTTGAAAATAATTTCAAAACAATACAATATTTTAAAATATCCAAAGTTTTATCTTTCAAAATTTTCACAAAATTATGCTTCAAATTTGAAAAATTAAAATATCATAATAAAATATTCAAAGAATTCAATCATCACCCTTTTTTCAATATGTCAAAAGAAAAAATTTGCTAAAATTAAAAAATAAAAATAAATTAAAACTAATAACTTACCATCACCTAACGTACGAACAAAATTCCACTGAATATTTCGATATTCCCGTGGTAATCGTATTACAAATCTAAATCTATCACTATCAAACAAACCCTCCCATGCTTTCCTCTGTATTTCAAGCTCGTCTTCATCATCATCGTCAACCGACATTGGTAAAATTTGTTAATATGAATATGAATTTTTGGATTGTTGAAGCTTATTCAAACTGAAATAAAACATACATTTAAATTGTCATTTATTAATCGTTATCAAATCTCATCGTCCCAATACATATCTCATCCATTCACTATCACTTATCACTTATCACCAATCCACCTTACCTCTCTCCCACCCACTCGCCCTCCTTCCCTCCATCTCTTTCATATTCATTCTCCGCCCGCGCCATTCAAACGTGACCTAACCGCCAAAATCGTCTCGCTATAGCAGCAGAAAATCCAAAGTGTTCTCCGATGCTATAGAAACAGAGCACTGATAAAAATTGGGATGTTGAGATATCATTAGGATGCCAATTTCTAATAATACTATCATATCACTAAAATATCAGCCGTTATCAGTAACATTATATCACCAACATATCATCCTTATCACTGGTGCGCCGTATATCATTAATTTATGATTGTGATAATTATATTTATTGTCATAATTAATTATATAAAATTTATAATAAATGGTTAATTATATAAATGGTTAATAATAATATTACCATATTATTAAGATATCAGATATTATCAGTAACATTATATTATCAGAATTAACATTATCACTAATACTGGTACGTCATTAATATGATTATGATTTTTGCATACTTATTGCATGTAGTAATTATGTGATGGAATTAATTGATGATATCAGATAATTATCATACATATGAAATGTGATTATTAAATGATAAAATTATCATGAGTTGAATGATGTGATAATTTTTTCATTTTATTTTTTTCAATTGTTTTACAAAAAGCTTGAGAAAATCCATGATGCTTTTTTGAGAGGAATAAAAAATTAGACAGTTTCAAGGACTTTTCATATTATTTGCACTGCTTTTTTTAAAAGGATTTTTCAATACATATGTATATATCTCATTATGATAATTTTCAAGTTTAAACTTTAATTGCTAGTTTCATATTCATTTTAATTGTAAGTTTTCAATTTCATACTTTAAAGTAC